GGGAGTAGATTTGAAAAGTTCCCAGAAGGTAAGGTCCCTGAAGCATCAGGATTATAACTGTCCCTGATACTTCAGGAACTAACCAGAGACCCAACAACAGTGGAGCCAGAACCCACGCTTCACATCCTCTGTAAGTGAATCTGGACCAGGATCCCTGAAGTGGGAGCCTGAGGAAAGAGTAGGGAGTTGTTATACCCAACTTAGCCAGAAAACAGGAGGGCTCTGTCTCTTCAGTCCAGATCTGTGTTCCTTTGAATTTCTGAGACACTGGTGTTGACCTAGGTGGGGAATAGTAGCAACTGTGAACTATCTCAGGTCACAAGGCACATGATAGATAACTCTAGGACTCTCTTCTCTCTTTTAGTCTCCTCCGTCTACTTGGTAGTGCAGGGATGCAGAGAAGTTAGAGTTAGTCTGTGGGAGATTAACTGGACATGGTTAGAGATTTGGGAAATGCATCACCTAGGAATCTATTGAGAAAGTATTTGAATTATGGGGTAGGAATCAAATTCAGTCTATGTCACTTCATAGACAAGAGACAAAAACCACAGATAACTCAGGAAGTAGCTGAGCTGATTTCAATTAAATCTAAAGAATCTCTAAATAATAATAATATGAGCCAGATGTCCTAGTGGTGTCATGGGTTACACACTGGACTGTTAGCCACAGGGTTGGAGATTCTAATCCACCATATGCTCCCTGAAGTAAAATGAGACTTTCAGCTCCCAAAGAGATTTACAGACTCAGAAAACCTATATAGAATCTATATACATAGGAACTGACTCCATGGCAAATAAGCACAGCCTCAAACAAAAAATTATGACCAAAAATGCAATAAACTACCTGTCTATGGATATATTCAATAATATCTGAAAGTAGGCTTAGGAGAGATGATTGAAAGCCTATCTAAATTCTATGGCACTAGATGATCATTTACAAGGATTTTCTTCTAAAATGATCTTTCTACTTCTTAAAACAATGCTTCTGCAGCTGTAAAAATGGCTTGAGTTGCATGGTCTCTGCTTTCTTCTCAGACCTTCTACTTCTCTGGCTTCCTCAGCCTTTCCTTAGCAAGATCTGTCATTAGCAAGATCTGATTGTAAACTAAGATTGAAAAAGGAGAGGGAAAGAACAAATGTGTTCTCAAAGAGTTTACTCTTAGGCTTGAATATGGAGGAACATCAAAAAGGGGGAAAGAATAGGCAGTAAGTGAGGGAAATACATGAAATAATCTTCCTGTGTCTTCCTCAAATCTAATCCTAGTGCTAGGAGTAATTATCTCAATGCTTTGGGGAAGACAAAAAACATACTGCTTTCTCTAGGCTACCTATAGATACTGATGTCTGAATTGTCTGATTTTCTATGTGGCTGTGCCCTCCAAAGATCAATCCAAGATTGTCCCTGATTCCAAACAAGGCATTTTCAATTCTCTCAGGAGTGCTTCCAAGATGTGAGATGGTGAGAATTGGGGTCCATATTTATAAGAATTAAATGCAAAATTTTTACAGAGAGAAGGAACAGGGGAAGAGAAGAGGAACAAAGATATGGGGAAAAAAAAACAACAACAAGGCTAATAGGGGCTGGATGAATTGTGGCAAGTCCTGGGCTTAGCAGGTGCTAATCAGTTCATGTGCCAGACTTACAAGTGAATTGATTCAAAGAGAAAATTGAACAGCAGATTAATGAACATAGTACATGGGCACAGAAAGGTACTTCAATCTCCACTCAAGACTTAAAATTATTTTCTATGGGTTTTTAATTTAAGGACATTCTCCAGTTCTAGAACTTCATATTTGTAATAGACCATTCCATCAAGGCAAAGCACAGAACCACGGTACAAGAGGAATAGAGATTGAGATATTCCTCTTGTGAATGAAACAGGAAGGTAAATCAGAAGCTATGACTAAGTAAATAGTTTTGTAATCTTTATTGATCCCTTTAACAAGATTCTCCCTTAGGAGATGAGCTCAGGAAAACAATATGAAGAAACAAAATACAAGGAGGATTCAAAAAGTTTATGGAACAGTGGAATTAAAAGACAATGAACTTTTCCCATGATCTTTTTAAAGGTCCCTCATACAATAGTTAAGGAGCTCTGGTAGCACAGTGTTTACTAATTGGGCTGCTAATCTCACCATCAGTCAGTCATTCGAAACTACCAGCTGTTCATGGGAGAAAGATGAGGCGTTCTGTTCCCGTAAAGATTTACAGCCTCAGAAACCCTACGCAGGGTGGATATGAGTTGGAACTGACTCCATGGTACATAACAACACATACAATAGTTGACTAAGAAGGGAATGGAACAGTGTGGCAAACAAAAGCAGAAGTTACAGGTAGACAGAAAACAGGGATTCTAGATTCTGGAAAGCTACCCTCAATATTGTAGGAGCATCAGGATGGGTACAAAAAGAATTTCCAAATAGTCTAAGCATTTCTATTTCACACAGAAAGCAAATGTATTTACATATTCACTGGCCTTGAGCCTGAAGAAATTGTTCCTTCTACTTTTATGTCATCCACATTTGAAACGTACCAGTTTAAATGATGGAAAGGACACATAATGCCAATGAATCTCAACTTGCTTATAGAAAATATAAATTGTTAAAATAGTCATTACTATTTCATTGTTGTTGTTAAGTGCCTTCAAGTTGTTTCAAATCAAAGCAAGCATATATCATGTTTCTGAGGCTGAAAATCTTTGTAGGATCAGAAAGCCTCATCTTTCTCCCATGGAACAGCTGGTGGCCTCGAACTGCTGACCTTGTAGTTAGCAGGCCACTGTTTATCCTATAGAGTCACTGTACTCCCCATTTGATAACATTGAGTGTCATAAATTATATAATGTTTAAAAAGTAATTTCAAAGGAGTCAAGGTCATACCTCATGCACTTGACTATTAGCAAAGCAAAATATGTTCTATAAATCAGGTGTGAGGGACCATCTCTAGAAGACAGCAGTTGGGTAGAAGATTTTGCTTTGAGTTGGAGGATCGGTAGGACTGAAGGAAGAGGACTGGCAGAGAATACCCATTCTCCCACCTAACAGAGTGTCTTTATTGGGTAAGATTGAGTCTGAGAGGAACCGCTTGAGCTGACTCGAACTATATTTAGAGAATATAAAAAGCATAGCTAGAAACAAAAAGTATTATTTGAACCCTACAAGAAAGCATCTATAAAAATATCATTCATTTCTTGGTTTACCACCACCCCAAACCAATTTTTCCACATCACAGTTTTAAAACTTAATTATATCATGGTTGAAGAATCAAGTAATTATTACATACAATTATTAGGTTCTGAAGTGTCCTAAAAAATGAATACAATTCAACCCTGTGTATTAGGCAGAATTAAGATTAGCACTATATAGCATGGGTAGTTAAGACTTAGGTTTTGAGACCTTAGTTCTTTCATTTGTAAAGAGGATATAACTGGATGCTGAACAACTAAATGAAATGTGGTTGTCATTAGGTACAACTGAGTCAGTTCTAACTCATAATGACCCTATGTACAACAGAACCAAACACCGCCCAGTCCTGCATTGGACATACAGCCTTGGAAAATATGTGCACTGTTCCCAGTAATTAGAAAGAGCTCCAAAAATAACTGATATCTAATTTTGTGTTTTCTTGGTTAGTCTAATGATTGAAAAACAAGACACTTATATATCTGATGAAAAGAGTTTCTAAACCCATAAAATAACACCTTGGTAGAGACGAGGTACTATTTCAATCTGCTGTTCTTAGGGTCACTATGAGTCAATTTGTTGCACTTACCCACTAACACCATCAGGACTCCTGAAAGGGGGACAGAAGGACTTTAAAGATGGATTTCATCACCCACAATAAGAAGAAACAACTTTTCATCTGGTTTAATGTCAAGGGTTATATCTTCATAGTGATGTTTAGTCTTCTTTTAAAGAAGACTGCTTCTACTAAAAGTTAAGAATCCAATAACTACAAATATCTAATAAATAGAGGGGGGAAAGATACAATCCAGACCCACCAAATAGAATGAATAGAATTTAAATTTTTTCCTGTGTATTATTTTATAAAATATCCAACTAAAGCAAGATAAATATAGCTGAGAGGCCAGAAAGTGTCAGGGAGAGTGGGATCATTTCTTGCATTCTTTGTTAAGTTATTTGGGTATAATTTGACAGCTAAATTGCAGCTATTGTACTCTATGTGGTCATTTAAAGGAAAACAAAGAAGAAATTTGTTAGTACAAATTAGGAAATATACAAAAATCTTAGTTTTTGTTCTTCAAATGGATTTATATAACTTTTAACTATCATCTGGATGACTACAGAGCAATACAATGATTCCAGGTTAATGTCTCTTTCTTAAAAGATATTGTTAATTTTTTAGTTTGTATGTATGTGGACAGCAAACAGAATTCTTGCGAATGCTTTATAAACTTTTCTGATGTGATGCATAGTAAGAAATTCAATTTGTACACAACCCCCCAAACAAAAACACAATGCATGTACATGCACAGATATAACTGGAAAAAAGTTCTCAAACAATACACATTAATGAGTACGCTAATATGCCCTATACTGTACTCATTTGCTCTTCTATATTAACCTGTTGATTCTTTAATTGATGTTAAACCTAATGACAGACTTTTCAAAACTAAGTGATCCCTAATATAGTATGCCTTCAAGTTTGCAAAATGAGAAATAGAAACATTTACAATTAATATTCATATGCCAGCTAATTAGTTTTCTTCCTCTTTCTTTTCTATGAAGACACAACAATTCTATAAAAAAAAAAAATTAAACAAAAAGTATATGTAAACAAATCATATTACCTTAGTCCTTTTTTTAGTTTAAAGTCATAGAAATATTTCCTTAGCATGACACAAAGGATAAACATAAATTCACTTCGTTCTGCATAATTGCACCCAACTAAAGAAAATCCTTCTGTCATCATGTATCTTGAGTCAGTAGTAAATTTTTATCCTAATTTTACAGATCAGTAAAAGAAATATATGATATAATATGACAGCTCAGCAAAATGGCACCATCTCCATTGAGGTTTCAGACTTCCTCCTGAATTGTTTTGTCAGGTCTCCCAGCTGGCAGCTCTGGCTGTCCCTGCCCCTCAGCCTCCTCTTTCTCCTGGCCATGGGGGCCAATGCCATTCTCCTAATCACCATCCGACTAGAGACTTCTCTGCATGAGCCCATGTACTATCTGCTTAGCTTTCTCTCCCTGCTGGACATTGTGCTCTGCCTCACCGTCATCCCCAAGGTCCTGGTCATCTTCTGGTTTGATCTCAGATCCATCAGTTTCTCTGCCTGTTTCCTCCAGATGTACATTATGAATTGTTTCTTGGCCATGGAGTCATGTACATTCATGGTCATGGCCTATGACCGCTATGTGGCCATCTGCCACCCACTACGATACCCATCCATCATCACTGACCAATTTGTGACCAAGGCTGCCATTTTTATTTTGGCCAGAAATGCCCTTATGACTTTGCCCATTCCCATTCTCTCAGCAAGACTCTACTATTGTGAGGATAATGTCATTGAGAATTGCATCTGTGCCAATATGTCTGTCTCCAGGCTCTCCTGTGATGATGTCACTATTAATCGCCTCTATCAATTTGCTGGAGGTTGGACCCTACTAGGATCTGACCTCATCCTCATTTTCCTCTCCTACACCCTCATACTGCGAGCTGTGCTGAGACTCAAGGCTGAGGGAGCTGTGACCAAGGCTCTAAGCACATGTGGCTCCCACTTCATCCTTATCCTTTTTTTCAGCACCATCCTCCTGGTCTTTGTCCTCACTCATGTGGCTAAGAAGAAGGTCTCCCCTGATGTGCCAATCTTGCTCAATGTCCTCCATCATGTCATCCCTGCAGCCCTCAACCCCATTGTTTATGGGGTGCGAACCCAGGAAATCAAGCAAGGAATCCAAAGACTACTGAAGAAAGGGTGGTAATATGAACATCCGGAATTAGACCTCTGAATTCTTACAGTATGATGATTTACAAGTCAGTAATGGATGAGTGGGCTGATACTCATGTCTACGAATAATAATCTCAAATTGAGTAACGTAGATATGTGACTTCTTTTCTGAACCTTCAGGGTATTTTTAAAGTTTCTCTTTTTCTCATTTCTCTACTAGGAATCTCCTGAACCCTTTCACCTTTATTTCAATGATTGTATAGCATAAGGTCGTTATGGATTGGTACGAACTCGATGGCACCTAACAACAAGAAATTCCTAATGTTTAGAATTCTGATATGTTTTTGGCAGACTCTATAAAGAAAATTTCATGTTCCTTAAAATACTATTGCTAATTTTTTGTGGATTTTATATTACTGAAAATATAGCTCTGGATATTATTTTGTTTGTGTTGTATTATTCTTATTTTTCTGAAAGTAGCATACTAGAAAGAAAAAAAAAAGCTTAAAAGTTTAAAGTTTATTCCTAAATTATGAGAAGTTTCCACTGGTCTGTACTTAAGACTTTGTCTTTCAGCACTCAATGACATCATTGTTTTGTGTGTGTGTGCATGTGTGTGAAAACAATAAGAAATGAGTTTTGTTTCATTGGAGAGACTCCTAAATCTTCCTCCTCATTGAGGTCTGCCATTGTTTATCTTTGAATCCAGGGCATCACGTCTTATAATATGTGAACATATCTCTGATAAGAGACAAAGGTTTAAAAGGATTTAACATATGATTAAGTAATAACACTGATATATAAAATAGTCCAGTTGAACATTATTTTCTAATTGAACAGAGTTTGAGCACACACAATCCTGGGAATTCTATGAGCGACTGATGTCACAAAAGATGAATTACACATTGCTATTGTTTTGAGCTCAAAACATGGTTAGATGGTCCACAAAAAACTGAATTTCCAAAGTACATGCTTAAATGGAAAATCTGAGAATGGTGAGGATTGAAAGAGGGTAATGGAGGACACGTGGCAGCTTAATAAAGTATTAAATGGAAAATTGCAAAGTATGGGTTGTAGTCCTTGCTTAATTTACATACATACACATACACACACAAATTGTATTTCTAGTAACAAATCACTTGATCTCACTGTCTCAGGATGTTGTTGTTGTTGCTAAGTGCCATCGAATTGGTTCCTGCTCTATGGCACAACAGAATGAAACACTGCCCAGTCCTGCATCATTTTTACAAATGTTATTATGTTTGAGTCCCCTGTTGCTGCAACTGTGTCTGTCCATCTCATTGAAGGCTTTTCTCTTTCACTGACCATCTTCTTTACCAAGCCTGATGTACTTCTCCAGGAATTGGTCCCTCCTACAACATGTCCAAACTGTGAGATGTGAAATTTTGTCATCTTCACTTCTAAGGAGCATTCTGATTGTACTTCCTCCAACACATATTTATTTGTTCTTCTGAAAGTTCATGGTACACTCAATATTGTTTTCCAACACCATAATTCAAATGCATCAATTCATCTACGGTATTTCTTATCCATTTTTCAGCAAGCAAGATTGTGTCATCTAGATGTCATAGGTTGTTAATGATCCTTCCTCCAATCTTGCTGCTACATTTTCTTCTTCATAGAATCCAGTTTCTTGGATTATTTTCTCAGCATACAGATTGAATGGGGAACAGGGTGACTACATAATTTTTTTTTTTAATTATGTATACACACACACACAATGCAAGACTAGATTTATATTTACATATTTGAACTATATTTGCAGATACATAGAATCTTGGAATGGTTTGTCTTTTTTCTTTTTAAGAGTGTTGAGTGGAAAATTAAAAATATAACCAGATATCTTGAAGGAATGAATCACTAGGCTTAAGGATTTAAGACCACAGTCCTGAGGAACATCCAGACCAACTGGCATAACAGAGTTTTTGTTGTTGTTCAGTGCAGACAAATTGTTTCTGACGCATGTTGTTTGTTGTTGTTGTTATGTGCCGTGGAGTCAGTTCGGACTCATAGAGACCCTACACAGGGTTTCCGAGGCTGTAAATCTTTACAGGAACAGACCACCTGATCTTTCTCCCATGGAACCGCTGGTAGTTTCAAACTGCTGACCTTGTGGCTCGCAGCCCTATTCATAACCACTATGCTACCAGAGCTCCTATAGCAATCCTGTATAGGGTTTCCAAGGAGCAGCTGGTAGGTTTGAACTGCTGACCTTTCCTTTAGAAATCCAGTGCTTACCCTACAGTACCACACCAGTACTCTCATATAACAAGAGTATGCAAAGACAATATTCTTCATCTTACTTTGGTGATATAATTTGCTCTTAAAATCTCAACAACAAGGTGGCCAGGAGACTGGCTTCTAGAATATGCCCTGTGGTTGTTTAAACGATTATATATCCCTATGTGGTTTTTGTTTGTTTGTTTTGGTTTTGGCTTTGGTTTTGTACAACTAAGGGGGGAAAAACGGAGAGGGGGTTTTCTTGATAAAAGAAACAATCTATGACGGTTTTAGGGGGACAAGGAAATGATACATGACTAGAGAGTAAACAAGCATTGACATGGGTGATGGGTCAGGCAATATTCAACTGGAAGAAGGCTAGCAGAAGAAAGATGGGGGTGACAGGAGACACAGGGAGGAATGCAGTGGTTAAAGTGAATAGCGGTAAATGTTGTTAACTGTTGGTGCATGGAGGGGGTTGCAACCATATCATGAAGCACCATATCATGATTTGTTGAATGTAAAACTGATCTGCTCTGTAAACCTCCAACTCAATTTACAATAAAAAGTTAAAAAAAAAAAACAAAAACTCAACAGCAACCATCTATGTCACAACTATTGTTCACTCCTAATCAGAGGCAAAGAAGAGTGAAGAAAATCAAATATTCAAGGAAACAGTGCAAATGAATAACGAACCACTTGAAACAGAGCCCCCATAGCCTGAGAGCAAAGCTAGACTGGTTATCAGTACATCTATTTTGATCAGGGCCACAATAGAAGGTCCTGGACATAAAAGGAGGGGAAAAATAAAAAGTAAAGCAAAATTCAAAATCATAAGCTATGGGCTTATAAAACATTGTACCGCAGGGTTGGTTTGAACTACAAGGTCCATGGTTCAAACTCACCAGCCACTCCTTAGAAACCCTATAAAGGGTCGCTATGAGTCAGAACCAACTCGAAGGCATTTAACAACAACAGCAGCAATAAAAAATTAATTAAACTATGAAGAATGAAATATACTCTTCAGTGCAATAAACCATATGAAACCAAAAGGTTCGGGTTTGCACAAAAACAAAACTCAGAAAGCAGGAAAGGACAAGAAAGAAGGTCAAATGGAAACAGAGAGCCCAAGGCGAAAGTGCTGTCATATTGAAGAGATTGTAACCAATTTTGCAAAGAAAAATATATGTGAAATGTTAAGTGGAAAACTAATTTGCTCTGTAAAATAAAAATTTTAAAAAGATAGTAGGTGGATAAATCGGGGGCAATCAGATAAATTTCCATGTAATTCTAACACTGAAATAAGGCACATAAAGTATAAGAGATAAATTGCTAGACAGTGAGGTCTCTTCATAACCTTGTAAGCAAAATCAGACGATTTACTGGACAAGGAGAACTTGAATACAAGGCAGAGAGGAGATAATTAAAGGAGTGAAAAGCTGAGCTGGGAAATGAATTTAGCAGCTTAGGTGGAGGGGCAAGTCTGTTTGAAACAAAAGAGAGGAGGTATATAAAGATGTTTTGAAGTGAAGCAGTTGGAAAGTCGAGAAAGAATTCCCTCTAAGAATATCCATCACTCATGGTCAAGTATGAGAAAACAGCTTGTCAGAGAGGGTAATTGATTTGGAGACCTTATTCAGAGACTGTGAGCCACAGAGATGTTTTTCTCAAATAAAAGTTTAATATAACTTAGAAAAGTATATTCATAACATAATGTACCTTTTCTGAAAATGAAACACTTACTGAATTGAGAAAAAAATAATCCTTATTATTGACACATCCATAGATGAATAAGCACTAAACTGATAACCACAAGGCCAGCAGTTCCATTATTTGGGTCACTATGAGTGGGAACCAACTTGATGACACATAACAACAGCAACAAAGGAAATGTAAATATGAAATAAAATAAAATGTGTGCCTTTTAGAGAAAGGGAAGATAGGAATTGAGACTTAGGGCTAGATGCTAAATAATAGTTTAAGTTTGTTAAGTATTGTGGAGTCGATTCAGACTCATAGTGACCCTGCCCAGGGTTTCCGAGGCTATAAATCTTTATAGGAACAGAACTCCTCATCTTTCTCCTGTGAAACCGCTGGTAGTTTTGAACTGCTGACCTTGAGGTTGGCAGCCCAACTCGTAACCACTATGCTAGGCTTCTTTATGGATCCTCTTTCCTGTAACAGAGGTGTTCCCATGTGACTGGGACCTCCAGAAATCTGACAGGGATCCTTAATCCAGCTTGGCAAAGGTGAGAATTGTTTCCTAGTATTTCAATATTCAGATTAATGAATAAAACTGTTAGCATAAAGCTAAAAGAGTTCATTGTATCGTTGTACCATGACTGAGGAGTATGAGTAGCTCAACTCAACAAAAGAAAAACTAATTAACAAACTATTTATCAAAACAACTATTGAGTTCAAATCAAATCACATTTTCTGTCATTCACTGGAGCAAAATTACATTTATTTGAATATCCTCTGTAGAAAAAAACATTTTATATCTCAATAAGTATATATTTTTGTTTTGTTTCATTATACTTTTATCAATATCATCTGATGGTAATACCTGTTCTTCTCTGAGCATATCTATTGTACCCTTGGAGGGGGCGGAGTGTATATATGCAAATGTGTAAGAATGCGTGGGGGTATGAATAAGTCCCTAATGTCCAAGGAAAATACTCATGTCTGCAGGTCAAAAAACAGTGTAGCATCGCACAGGACTATACCCCAAGAAGCTCTTTCTCTTTCCTCCCTTTATATCTGTTTTGTGGGCTTGCTATTCCTAATTTCTTCCTCCATCCCAAGTGAATAGAGATGGATAAACTCCCCTTGGGAAAAGTCCCTAAGGCCACTAAGGTTGGAAAACTCTCAGCTATATATCAGTATGTAGTGGAAGCCCCATGAGTGGAGCCATACCCCATGTTACTATATCTTTCCAAGGTGATTCTGTGAAAGGAAACCTGGAGAGGAACCTGAGAAGCATGGGTACCAAGTCTAAGCAGAATGCAGAAAGGCTCTGTCTCTTCAGCCCAAAGGTATGAGCCTATCCTTTCATGAGTCCAGGGTATCTGAACAATCTTAGCAGAGGTAGTAGAGACTGTGTCCTATGTGACAAGAGGGCCTTTCTTTATTGTTTTGGCTTCCTCTGAATGCTTGATATACCAGGGAAATGGATAAACACAAGCTGGTCCATGACAAATTAACTGTTGTGTTGTGATAGATAAAACGTGGAACCCAGAGGAAGGACTGAGTATCTGGAAATTTAGAAACCCTAAAAGAAAAAAAAAAAAAAAAATGTATGCAAATATTGACTGGTTAAGAATTTGAGTGAGGAGAAAATAACATATTTTAGTTGGACCTAAAGAATTTCTAAAACCTGAAATGCTTGTACTAAAAAGGTCTGACAGAAAAAGCAATTTCCTTCAGCCTCTAGATTAAATTAATAAAAATTTGAAGGATAAACTGATGGGAATATTTTGCAAGTTTATATGACCACCATTGGACTGTTGTTGTTAACTGCCGTCAAGTCGGTTCTGACCCATAGCGACCTATACTGGGTTTCCGAGGGTGTAAATCTTTACGGGAGTAGAAAGCCTCATCTTTCTCCCACGGAGCGGCTGGTAGTTTCGAACCGCTGACCTTAAGGTTTGCAGCCCAATTCGTAACCACTACACTACCAGAGCTCCTTGGACTAGCAAATGTTAATATTCCTTTTAAATCTCAAAGTTTGTGCTTTCAGGGGATTATGGTATAGGTCTATCAGCAACCTGGGAGCAGGACTTGGTTTGGTTCCTTATATTGGTCTCACTTTCTCATCATGACCCTGATGGAGGAAGGAAATAATTAGCTGTACGGACTCAGTCCTACTACTGCTACAGGTTGGTTCTGATTACAGATGGAAATTGGAAGAGGGAGAGAAATAGATAAGTGCATAGTCAAGAACTTAACTCTAAAGTTGAGAAGGTACTCGATGTTTATTTAATGAATGGCCGAAGGAAAAAGAAAAAGCAAGAAGATAAGAAATAAATAATAGAAAAGTCATAGTATGTGATCTCCAAAAAATATATCCTAGTACTGTGAATAATCTTTCTGAAACTTTCCAGGAAATGAAAGAACATTCTGCTTCTTCTAGGCTTCTTTATGGATCCTCTTTCCTGCGGCAGAGGTGTTCCCATGTGACTGGGACCTTCAGAAATCTGGCAGGGATCCTTAATCCAGCTTGGCAAAGGTGGGAATTATTGCCTAAAAGTGAAACTTTATAGTGTTACACAAAGCAGATAAAAATAAGATGTACTAGAAGGCAATATTTCCGAATCTGACAACCTGAAATTTTCATTTGCTGTGGCTGGATGCAGTCAAATATAATAGAGGTGGGTAGAGGGTGGGTGAAGTCCTATATGGTGCAAGTCTGGACTGCTATCCAAAAGGTTAGAGATTCAAGTTCACTCAAAGACACCTAGAAAGAAAGACCTGGTGATCAGCTTCCAGGAAGTCAGTCATGGAAAACCCTGTAGAGCACAGTACTACTTTGACACACATGGAGCCACCGTGAGTACAATTGGTTTGCTTTTTTATTCTTAATTTTAGCGGGTAAAATTGGGAAATTATCTAAACTCCTCCGATACAGCTTCAAACTACTTTTGTCTCCAAGGTTTTAAAACTAATCAGTCAGAACCCCTTTTTTAAGCAGAACATCAAAAAGAATTAAAAGATGAGTTGGGGATATAAGAGAGGCTGGTAATACCCACCATCCTTTGCTGATCAAGCAATTCTCAGGGTCATCTTGATAAGAAGGATGAAATATAAGAAAAAAAGAAAGCAAAAAGAACTGGAGGTATGAAAGCAAGGGCTCACATAGAAGGAAACATTTTAGTAGTTAATTAGGTTTTGATGATTGAAAGAATATTTTTGTTCTTGGTTCAAACTTCTGTTTAAAATTCTTTCCTATTTACTCAGCCCCCATTCAAAAAACGGGAAGTACGGTGACTTTTTAGGAAAAGCACTAGCACCAACCACAATATTAGAGTGCGAGCCCATCAGCCACTCTGTAGGAGAAAGATGAGGCTTTCTGCTTCCGGAAAGATTTATAACCTCAGAAACCCTGTACAGGGTCACTATGCGTCAGAACCAATTTAATGGCACTTAACAACAACAACAACAACAGTAATTCTAAAAACACCTCTCTACTTCTAAATTTTACTTTCAAAAATGATCATGACACTTGAGGACTAGACTTGTACTTGCTTATGGTAGTGTAGTGGTTACGAATTGGGCTGAGAACCGCAAGGTCAGCAGTTCGAAACTACCAGCTGTTCTGCTGGAGAAAGATGAGGCTTTCTGCTCCCATAAAGATTTACAGCCTCGGAAACCCTGTACAAGGTCGCTATGAGTCGAACCGACTCCAAGGCACATAACAACAACAAAGAACTCAGTAATCAAATCCAGTATCACAACTTTAAAGTGCTCAGAGGAATCCTGGGAGGTCGCCCAATTTATACTCCTTAGTTGCTGAGCAACAGTGACTAACAACTGGGTCTCAAGAACAAGTTTGCATCCAGCTTGCAAGTTTTACTCTTTAGCTTTGGGATTTGCTAAAGCTTTCTTCATCTCATTTCATTCATTGACAAAGTCATAAAAATAAGACATATCTCACAGGGTTGTTTTAATGATTCAGTTAGATAAAGATCCCACTGGATTTTAGCATAACGCTGGTGCCGCCGTAGAAAAACCCTGGACTACTAACCACAAGGTCAGAAGTTCAAACTTACCAGTCACTCCACACAAGAAAGATGGAACTTTCTGCTCCTGTAAAGATTCACAGCTTTAGAAACCCATGTAGGGAGGATATGAGTTGGAACCAACGAGAAGGCACTTAACAACAATATATTAGTCCCATGCCTAGTAAGTATTGAGATTCTGTACACTGTAAGCATTCTTGTATTTTACCAGCTATCTAAATGGATGTGAAACAATCACAGCTAAGTAATGATGAAAGAGAGTACATTCCACTAGATGACACTCAAGCAGAACAATGTGGACAGACCTATCAACATGCAAAACATGTTATAAAAGACTTCAGAAAGGCTGATGACAAATATTTCTCTGTCATTGCCTCTCACCATCACAAGGCAACTCATTTTTCTTAGCCTTTAAAATTCATCAGAAGGAAGTCCTGGAAATACTTTATTTTCATTTCAGAGAATCTAATCCTCACCTAAGGAGCTCTGGTAGTGTAGTGGTTACGAATGGACTGTGAACCAGAAGGTAAGCAGTTCAAAACTACCAGATATTCCGCAGGAGAAAGATGAGGCTTCTGCTCCCATAAAGATGTCCAGCCTCGGAAACCCTGTACAGGGTCGCTATGAGTCAGAACTGACTCCACGGCACATAACAACAACAACAACAACAATCCTCACCTAAGAAGGAGCCAGAAGTCCTGGTATGGCACTTAGGATGAACACTGGACCACAAAGTCAGTTTGAACTGTAGATGGGTCGTTCAAACCCACCAGATGCTCCTTGGAAACCCTATACAGGATGGCTATGAGTTGGAACCAATTCAGCGACACATAATAACTAAGAAGGAGCCTGATGACACAGTGGTTTAGGAGCTTACCTGCTAACTGAATGATTGGTGGGTTCAACTCACCAGCTACTTGGTGAAAGATGCGATGACTGGCTTCCACAAAGATTTGTGACATTGCAAATCCCACTGAGAAAGTCTACTCTGTCCATAGGGTCACTGTGAGTTGGAATCAATGCAATGATAATGGGTAAGCCTCACCTACACTCTCAAAAGCTTTTAGACATCTTGCTTTCGTTGCCATTTTCACTTTTCTTATACTTCCGCATTTCCAGTCCCATTACAGTGTTGTCACTTCCTTGGTCATCAGAATAGAACTTAACTTCTTTGCTCCCTAGCACCTGGCACAGTGTCCAGTATCTCAGGTGCATATGAGATAAAGAAGTGACAGCACTGAATAAACTCCGGTGTGGGTATGCTAGACATTATCTGCTGCTGGAAAACAAGATTGTGAAAGGAAATCTTAAAGATCAAACTTCATCACCTCTGCATTACTGAAATCAACATAGGTATTTTATCCCACTCCTCAATAGCAAAACTCACTGCCTCAGGTCTACTTAAAATAACTTTATATGCCTAATACTATGGCATCTTTCAAAAATAAGAAATATTCAGAAATGTGGAAACAGTATTTTCAAAAAAACTCAGTGGATTTTCTGTATTAATACATAAAATCTCCAGCTAATGCAAAATAACATGCTGGAAACTATCAGTTGCATCCAGTTAAGTTAATTTTTCCTTCCTTCATATAAAGTTAGAAATTAATTTTAATCCTAACTTTTTAGGTCACAAGAGAAACGCTGTACAAACAAAATCCACAAAATGACATCTTACAAAAATGGTTACAACTCCTCTGGGATCTCCGAATTTCTCCTGAACTGTTTTGTCAGCTCTCCAATCTGGCAGCTCTGGCTGTCCCTGCCCCTCAGCCTCCTTTTCCTTCTGGCCATGGGAGCCAATGCTGTTCTCCTCATCACCATCCGACTAGAGGCCTCTCTGCACCAGCCCATGTATTATCTTCTCAGCATCCTCTCCATGCTGGACATTGTACTCTGTCTCACCGTCATACCCAAGGTCCTGGTCATCTTCTGGTTTGATCTCAGATCCATCAGCTTCTTTGCCTGCTTTCTCCAGATGTACATCATGAACTGCTTCCTGGGCATGGAGTCCTGCACATTCATGGTCATGGCCTATGACCGCTATGTGGCTATCTGCCATCCACTTCGGTACCCATCCATCATCACTGGCCAATTTGTAGCCAAGGCTGCTATTTTTATTTTGGCCAGAAATGCCCTTATTACCATGTCTGTTCCCATCCTTTCTGCCCGACTCCATTACTGTGGGAGAAACGTCATTGAGAACTGTATCTGCGCCAATATGTCTGTCTCCAGGCTCTCCTGTGATGATGTCACCATCAATCGTCTCCTCCAATTTGCTGGAGGTTGGACCCTACTAGGATCTGACCTCATCCTCATTTTCCTCTCCTACACCCTCATACTGAGAGCTGTGCTGAAACTCAAGGCTGAGGGAGCTGTGACTAAGGCTCTAAGCACATGTGGCTCCCACTTCATCCTTATCCTTTTTTTCAGCACCATCCTCCTGGTCTTGGTCCTCACTCATGTGGCTAAGAAGAAGGTCTCCCCTGATGTGCCAGTCTTGCTCAATGTCCTCTATCATGTCATCCCTGCAGCCCTCAACCCCATTGTTTATGGGGTGCGAACCCAGGAAATCAAGCAAGGAATCCAAAGATTACTAAAGAAAGGGTGGTAATAAAGGCAACAGAACTTGCTCCCTGAATTCCTAAACTATGATTTCATATATTTCAGTTATGAGAAATTGGATTTAAAGCCATAGCTCAGAGACATAATTACAAAGAGAAAAACAAGTTTAAATATGAAATAATTTCTTAACTGTATTCCTCCTCTTCAGACCCTGACCCTGCTCCCAAGCAAAGAGGTCTATAATATTTTTACGTTTTTCCAATCTCTATGATATTGTTCATCCAAAATGTGAAAATTCAGAATAAGTTCTATAGTAGAGAAAGTATCTCAGCTTAATATTTTACTTACTATCACTTAATACTTACTATTTTTAAATATAGCTGTGGACATATATTGGTCTGAATTACAAATATTAGTATAATTATTGTTATTAACCCAGTTATTTAATGCAGTTGTGAAAAATCCACAGTATTTTAAATGTCATCCCTGAATGATATAAAGTGTCTAGAATTCATAAGTAAGTCTACTCAGTACCCTAACTGGGCCATTATCTTTTTTCTTCTTCTCCTCTACTCCATTAGGAAAAGCATGTGTATTTTTGGTGGGCATAGTCTTTCAAATAGTTCTTGCAAGAAATGCTCACATGTGGCGCAACAAGTTTTACTGGGTTTAGAAGAAGCAGGTATCATATAAAGTCTTTCCACAATGTCTTCACACCAGTGTCATGCTTGCAGTTTCATCTTCTTGATTCATAAAAGTATGATCTTGTACGTGGCTCTTCGCTTGTGGGCAGTATCAGAAAATGTTCCAGTAATGAGACTGAAATATAATAGGGTTCATCTCAAAGCTGGGTTGGCTCGTTTATTGGTAAAATATTTTATGAACAGTTTTTCCAGTTCATGAATTTTATTAACCTGCAGTAGATCAGATGCTTCAAATGTGATATTATTGAAGAACTCTTATTAAAAGTATGTAAAATATGAGCCAATGTGTATCCCAGGTGCATTATCTTCAAATTGGAAAGAAGTGGGAAGGAATGTGTAACATGTAAATATTGTAAATGACTTGATAAAGAGAGAAAACCTGATGTGCAGAGCTAGAAGTTCAGTTCTAGACCTTGCACAAACACAAACAAGACGTATGAGTGAAAAATATATATATATATATCAATAACCCCACTGATCTCAGAGTCCACATCTGTTACATGAAAACAGTGAACTAATTGCTTAGAAAATGTATGTCTAACTCTAAGAATTTATGAAAGCATCTTCTGCCCTAAGACAGGCATTATTCCCATAATTGAGTCTTTCTTCCGTACTTCTATTTAAGCACAGACAGAAACATCCCCCAACTCCCTCAAGATGACAAGTGAAACTAACTGAGAACTTTGTATTGGGGAAATGTCCAAATACTATAATTTATGATTTGTTTCATAGGACAAAAATCAAACCTTCCTGAAAGATCTCCTTCAGCCACATCATATACAGGTCTTAGACTGCACCTCCCTACTCAGAACAAGCATATAGCCTCCACTGATCACAAGGTTCCACATATATACACTTCTTGCCACAGAGCATTTCCCTCTGAACTAAGCTAGTTATTTGGTTTGAGATTTCATCTTGTGCTCGGAATTGAAATGTTACACAATTATTAATGTGGGAAATAGCAATTCCACCCAAGGAAAGTTTTCGTCAGACCCATAGTTCCATGTTCTTTCTTTCTGACCCCAAAAAGAAAATGCCTCAAAGTACACTCTTAGTATGGTTCCCAAAGTCTGGACATTTTAATTTTAAATAAAATATTTAATGAATCACTGAACTATTTAAGGTGTAGTCTTCATTGTTTTGTGAGTTTCTTTAAATCTCCATCTAGTAATAAAAAGAACTTTAACCTTGAACTTTCCCTATAGCCTTTGGGTTTCACTGCTGCTGGACTCTTATTACTTACCATCTACTTGGATATGAAAATGTGTCAACATCTCTTCAGTAATCAGTAATAATTACAGACAAAATTGTGTTTCTTCACAATACATTCAAGTATTACTAAAACTTCACATTTGCAAACATTATTAAGAAGGTCTTAATGTAACGTATTTATCACTAAAGAACAGTGAGAAGATTACCCAAGATAAAAATTAAATCTATTTCTAAAGTAAATCTAAACTACCACTATTATGAAATAGATCATTGCTTGTAACTTATAAATGATATCTTACCAATACATAATAGAGAAGATCAGTAGCTGTATCCTACTCAAAATGTGTGATATGAATTGGACTTTTCTCCAGATACTGACTTAAAAGCTTAGACTAACAGACAGGAAAAGAAAGTTAATTGGGTAAAACAGTTTACTTTATAAAAATATGGTGACAGTAAAACTTAGTCTGCTGACAGCTGGGTTTCTCCAATGAGAGAAGAAGAAAAATTATTGCTAGTAGCCCAGTGGAAAGAAAACCAAGTTGTTCAATAATGAATGATTAGATTATTTCTTTCTGCTAAAAAATGAAAAGATGAGTAGTGGTTTATAGAAGCATGTGAAACAAAAACAAGATTATGCAGAACTAAAAATGAGCTATATATAAGCCCAAGAATGTACCTAAGTCTAAGAATAAAATAAAGTAAGCAGGTTAATGAACTGGACTGCAAAGTCTATTTGAACTGCAAGGTCGGCAATTCAAGTTCACTAGTGGCTCCTCAGAAATGCTGTACAGGGTCGCAATGAGTCAGAACTGATTTGATGGCACTTAACAATATATGTTAGATTTTACTAGTAACTAACAAGGAATATTAGTATTAGGATAAGTAATTTTTTAATATTAATAGTTTATTTAAAAGGGGCCAATTACATCCTAAAAGTTTTAATCGACTTAAAGAAATTTTCATAATTTTATGAATAAGTATTTTATATTAGCAAATTTTATACTATATTATTTTAATTTTTAAGATTTAGAGGTCATAGATATATGTTGTTGCTTTTGTTGTTGTTGTCATTAGGTGCCATTCAACCCTATGCACAACAGAACAAAAACATTGCCCCGTCTTGCGTCAACCTCAAACTGCTGCTCCCACTGTTGGGAGGTTTCCTCTTTTCTCCAACCCTCCATTTTACCAAACATGATATAGTCCTCCAGGGACTGGTCCCTCCTGACAATATGTCCAACATGTGAGAGATGAAGTCTGGCCATCCTGGCTTCCAGGGAACATTCTGGTGTTATTTCTTCCAACAGATCAGTTTGTTCTTTAGGCAGTCCATGCTACTTTCAATATTCTCCCAACACCAGAACTCAAATGCATCAGTTTCTTCTACAGTCTTTCTTATTCACTGTCCAACTTCCCCATTCATGTGAGGTTATTGAAAATACCATGACTTGGGTCAGGCGCACCTGAAAGTTGCCCTTCAACACTTTATAGAGGTCTTGTGCAGTAGATTTGCCTACTACAATATATCATTTATTTCTTGACTGTTGCTTCCATGAATGTTTATGGTTGATAAGGGCAAAATAAAGTCTTTGACAACTTCAATCTTTTCTTCATTTATTGTTAAGTTATTTCTTGGTCCAGTGGTGAGGAATTTTGTTGTCTTTATATTGAGATGCAATCTCTACTGAAGACTGTGGTCTTTGACCTTCAGAAGTAAGTATTTTAAGTCCTCTTTGCTTTCAGCAAACAAAGTTGTATCAGCTGCATATTGCAGGTTTTTAATGAGTCTTCCTCCTAATCCTGATGCTATGTTTTTCTTCATATAATCCAGTTTCTTGGATTAGTTGCTCAGCGTACAGAATAAATATGGTGAAAGAATACAATCCTGCCACACACCTTTTCTAATTTTAAACAATTAGGTGTTCCCTTGTTCTGTATAAGTACCTCATGAGCATAGGTAAGTGTTCTGGAATACTCATTCTCCACAATATTGTGCATAGCTTGTCATAATCCGCGACCAAAAGCCTTCATGTAGTCAATAAAGCACAGGTAAACATCTTTCTGGTATTCTCTGACTCAGCCAAGATGCATCTGACATCAGTAATGATATCCCTTGGTCAACATCCTCTTGTGAATATAGCTTGAACCTCTGGAAGTTCTCTGTCAATGTATGGTTGCAGCCATTTTTGTAGTTAGCAAAATTTTGCTTGCTTGGGATGTTAATGGTATTTTCTGAAGATTTCTGAAATCTATTGGGTCACTTCTTTTTGGAATGGGCACAAATATGGATCTCCAGTCAGTTAGAATTTCCTAGATAGATGAGTGAGTGCCTCCAGCTGCATAAGTTTGATGAAAGATTTCAATTTGTATTCCATCAATTCCCAGAGACTTGTTCTTTGCCAATGCTTTCAATGCACCTTGAACTTCTTCCTTCAGTACCACTGATGCTTGATCAGATGCTACTTCTTCAGATGGTTGAACCTCAACCATTTCTTTCTGGTACAGTGACTATGTATTTCTTTCATCTCCTTTTGATGCTTTCTGCATCATTCAATATTTTTCCCATAGAATCCTTCAATGTTGCAACTAGTGGCTTGATTTTTTTCCCTCAGTTCCCTCAGCTTGAGGAATGCTGAGCATGTTCTTCCCTTCTGGTTTTTTGACTCCAGGTTTTTGCACATTTCATTATAATGTTTGACCTTTGTCTTCTCAAGCTGTCTTTTGAAATTTTCTATTCAGCGCTTTTACCTTCTCATTTCTTCCATTTGCTTTAGCATCTCTACCTGGAGAACAAGTTTCAGAGTCTCTTCTGACATCCATTTTGGTCTTTTCCTTCTTTCTTGTCTTCTTAATGATCTTTTGCTTTCTTCCTATAAGATGTTCTTGATGTCATCCCACAATTCTTCTGGTCTTCGGTCTTCAGTGTCTAATGCATTAAATCTGTTCTTAAGATGATCTCCAATTTCAGGTAGGGTATGTTCAGGGTCATATTTTGGCTTTATAGACTTGTTTTAATTTTCCTCAGCTTCAACCTATACTTGCACATGAACAAATGATGGTCTGTTGCACAGTCTGCCCCTGGCCTTGTTTTGGCTGATGATATGGAACTTTTCCACCATCTCTTTCCACAGATGTAGTCAATTTGATTTTTGTGTATTCCATCTGGTGAGGTCCATATGTATAGTCATCTTTTATGTTGTTAAAAAAAAATGTATTTGCAATGAAGAAGTAATGGTTCTTGTAAAATTCTATCATGCAATCTCCAGCAGTGTTTCTATCACCAAGGCCATATTTTCCAACTACTGATCCTTCCTCTTTGTTTCCAACCTTTGCATTCCAATCATCAGCAATTATCAATACCTCTTGATTGAAGGTTTGATCAGTTTCAGACTAAAGAAGTTGGTGGAATTCATCATCACTGGCTTTAGTGCTTGGTGTGTAAGTTTGAGTAATGATGACGTTAACTGGTCTTCCTTGCAGGTGTATAGATATTATCCTATCACTGACAGCATTGGACTTCAAGAAAGATCTTGATGTGTTCTTTTTGATGATGAAAGTGACACCATTCCTCTTCAACTTGTCATTCCTGGCATAGTAAACCATGTGATTGTCAGATTCAAAATGGCCAATGCCAGTATATTTCAACTCAATAATGCCTAGGATATCAATGGTTATGCATTATATTACATTTTGACAATTTTCAATTTTCCTAGATTTATACTTTTTACATTCAATGTTCCGATTATTAACTGATGTTTACAGCTGTTTCTCTTCATTTTGAGTTGTGTCTCATCAGAAAATGAAGGTCCTGAAGGCTTTACTCCATTAGCATCATCAAGGTCAACTCTACTTTGAGGAGGAAACTCTTCCTCAGAGTGGCTTCAACCTGAGGGGCTCATCGTCTGACATCATATCTGAAAATATTTTGGTAGTCTTCATCATGATTCAATATTCAATATTCTGGTGCTGAGGGTGTTCTACTGTTATCCATATCTAAATATTCAGAAATAGTACATGTCTCCTTTCTTCCTAGTCTGTCTTTGTCTGGATACTCAGTTGAACCCTATCCACCTTGGGTGGCCCTGCTGGTATTTAAAATAGCTCCAGCATCACAGCAACATGAAAGCCACCACAGTACAACAAACTGACAGACAAGTAGCAGCATAGGTAAATGGAATAGATACATAGCTTTATGTGCTAACATTCAATAAAAACATGAATAGAAATTTGGCCCATTAAACCACAGAGCAACTATTTAGGTAATACTGAAATGAAGGATTTATTGGTAATCTTAATATTACCAGGCATTACTTTCTTAGAAAATCAACTTGAATCGATCAAATATTTGAGGTGGTGTTTCAACTGTCATTGGAGATTTATCCAGTAGAATATTACTTAATGTCCTACCCGGCATGGTAGTAGCACTGAGGCCAAATTTGTGACCTTCATCTCATAATTGCTCAATACCTAATAAGTGTAAAGGATAGCAAAAAAGCAAAGTGCCATGTATACATCTGGAAATTCAAGGCATTATAAAGTTAAGTTAATAAATCATTTCATAAAGTTGTAAGTGCTGTAAAAATAAAAGTATAATGCATTAATGTGACATGAAGTGGTAAAGGAGGCCACTTTAGATGTGATTATTAAGCAAGTACTGCTCTCTGTGGGGCATCCTGGTGCAGCGCTGCAAGACAAAACAGTTTGAACTATAAATTCAGCAGTTCAAACTCACCAGCAGCTCCTCAGAACCCTATACAGGGTCTCTATGTGTTGGACTGACTAGACGACACTTAACAACAACAATAACAACAACTCTCTGTGGACTCCTGGTATGTTGCTGCAGGACAAAGCACTAGACCACAAGGTTGGTTTGAATGGCAAGGTTGGTGGTTCAAACCCACAATTGTTCCTCGTAAACCTTATACAGGGTCACTATGAATTATAATTGACCCGACAGCACTTAACAACAACTCTATATATAGTACAGAGTCCTGGTGTGGCACTGTAGGATAAGCACTTGACTGCTCACTGCAAAGTAGGCAGTTCAAACCCACCAGCTGCCCCTCAGAAATCCTATATAAGGTCGTATTGAGTTGGAACTGTTTCAACAATATCTATCGCCTCTCAAGCAACAACATAGTCTTATGATTCAAATTTCTATATTTAGCTGAACTTTGCCCCTAAGAAGTACCATCTGTCTAGTTGCTTACTTTTATTTCTTACTTTGGGTATTTATTAGTAATTTCAAAAGTACAGTTAGGATAAAAAGTTCTGCTTCATTGTTGTTGTTAAGTGCCGTCGAGTGGTTCCGACCCATAGCAACCCTGTATAGGGTTTCCGAGCAGCAGCTGGTGAGCTTGAACCTCCAATCTTGCAGTTCAAACCAACTTTGCCGTCCAATGCATTAACCCACCGCGCCACACCAGGACTCCAAAACTTCCGTATGGAAATAGAATTCAGTGTCCGTACAGAAGTTTTGGAGTCCAAATCTGAACTTTCAATAGTCCATACCAATCAAACTGGTGGTGGTGGTTATGTGCTGTGGAGTCAGTTCCGACTCATAGCAATCCTGTACAGGGTTTCCGAGGCTGTAAATCTTTACGAGAGCAGAAACCTCATCTTTCTCCCGCGGAACAGCTGGTAGTTTCGAACTGCTGATCTAAAAGTTCGCAGCCCGATTCGTAACCACTATGCTATCAGAGCTCTCTAGCTCCTCCTTTATCGGGCTTCGAACCGCAAGGCCAGCAGTTCGTAACTATCAGCTGTTCCATGGGATAAAGATGAGACTTTCTGCTTCCATAAAGATTTACAGTCTCGGAAACCCTGTACAGGGTTGCTATGAGTCGGAACCGACTTCACAGCACATAACCACCACCATGTTCTTCTAAGGAAAGCCCTGGTAGCACCATGGATTAAGCCTTTATCCGCTAACTGCAAGGTTGTCAGGTCAAGCCCACTAGTCGCTCTGCAGGAAAATGATGAGGCTGTGTGCTTCCATAGAGATTTCACAATCTCAAAAGCCCTAAGGAACAGTCCTACTCTGTTCTATAGGATTAATATGAGTCATCATTGACTCAATGGCATTGGGTTTGTTTTGGGTGTTTTTTTAATGTATATTCTGCCCATTGTTCTGACTCAAATCCTTGATCTCATCCTTTACTTCTCTCCATCCCCTAACTATGGAATCTCTGCCAGTATTGTGACCCATAACTTCAATTCTCATTCACCACCTCAGTCCAATCCGTTATCAATGGGATTATTTCTCTGACCCTACCGCTGGCCCTCTGCCATATCCCTGCCATATGAACTAAGTATAAGAGGCACTCAGATGAAAAAACTAAAACTTACATGGAAGGTATTGAATACTTCTTTAATGAATGAGTAATTAAGAAATCAGTAAGGACAAGAGGTCCAAGTGAAGAAGATAATCATTATATAAAAGTGGATTCAGCAATGTATAGAGTGTACTCAAGGTAAGTATTGCTATAGCACTTAAGGAAGGTTTGATTTCAAGTTGAAAGTAGCAGCATAGATGTGTTACTTGTGGAGTTCAGAAGGATGGTAGAGTCATATACCAGACTCCCATAATCACTGAGCCCTGACTCACAGTCTCAGTGCTGGTACCTTAGTAGCTTGATAATCCCCTGTTTAATTTCCTGAGTTCGTACCCCATAAACTATGGGGTTGAGAGCTGGTGGGATAAGGTGGTGCAGGACATTGAGAAGAATGGGAACTTCCGAAGGCACTTTCTTCCCTGCTTTGTTTGTGAAGATGAAGACCAGGAGCAATGTGTAGAAGAAAAGTATAAGTATGAGATGGGACCCACAAGTACTCAAGGCTTTGGTGGCTGCACCCCCTGACTGCAGACGCAGCACAGCTCTCAAAATAAAGCAGTAGGATAGCAAAATGAGGACCAGATCAGACCCCAACAAGCACCAGACACTCACAAACTGATAGAGCTTATTTAGGCGAATATCGTCACAGGATAGCCTTGCTACAGAAATATTGGCACAGATACAGTTCTCCACCACATTGCTGGCACAGTAGTTAAGCCTGGCAGCCAAAACCGGGGTGGGCAGTGTGGCCAGCAGATTGCGGAAGACAATAAAGATGGCAGCATTAATGACAAACTGGTCAGTGATGATAGATGGGTAACGAAGAGGGTGGCAAATGGCCACATAGCGGTCATAGGCCATAACCAGGAAGGTGGAGGACTCCATGGGAAGGAAGGTATTCATGATGAACATCTGCAGGAAGCAACCCGTAAAGCTGATAGGCTTCATGTTGAACCAGAAGATGAGCAGGACCTGACAGAAGAATTGTTCTCAAAAACCTTGTACAGTGTTCTTGCCCTAGAGGACCAAAACCCTTGGGGAAACACTCAAATGGTTACAACCATCTGTCTCTTCAAACCCCAACCCAATCCCATAATCCCATCCAGGACAACAACCTCATTGTAAATACTTTTTATGTATATACTGAACTCCAGGGCCTGACTCATCTCCTTTCCATCTACAGACCATATCCTTTGTTTAATTTTTTTAAATTTATAGCTCTGTCCTTTTCTTGAATTACAGAGTTCTTACTCAAATTCTAGCTAGAAACATCTACTCATAAAATGTTTCAGAGTAATATCGAGCCCAGTAAGAGTAATATTTATTTGGACATCCCCAAACCCCTTCATACACAGAAGAAATAACTTAAATTTGTTTCCCATATAGGATAAGTATTGGAAAGCTAGCCACAAGGTTGGCATTTCAAATCTGCTAGCCACATCAAGGGAGAAAGATAAGGCTTTCTAATTCTGCAATGATTTACAGCTTCAGAAACCCTATACAGGGTTGCTATGAGTCAGAATTGACTTGATGACACCTAACAACAACAACTTTTTGTATGACATAAATACATATACAGTTATGTTGATGTTGTTCTTAAGTGCAGTCGAGTCAGTTCCAACTCATAGCGACCCTACAGGGTTTCCAAGGAGTGACTTGTAGGTTTGAACTGTCAACCTTGTGGTTAGCAGTTCAGTGTGTTTATTCTGTAGTGTCTCACCATGACTCCACAGCTACATTGTTGATGTTAAGAGCCTGGGAGTCAATTCCAGCTTATAGTGGCACTGTGAAATAGGGTTTCTGAAGAGCAGCTGGTGAGTTTGAACCACCGACCTTGCAGTTCAAATCGACCTTGCGGTCCAGTGCTTATCCTACAGTGTTACACCAGGAATCCATGCAGCAACATTGGGAAACAGAAATTCTAGAGCTCTTTAATAGGTTTGGAAGCCATTCAGGGGGATGGAAAATCTTCCTAGAAGTAGGAAGTGGCCTATAATTGGTTAGTATTGTTCACTGAGACATGAAGTGAGGACCTGGAAAGTAAAGATGAATGAATCCTTAGAAATCCATGGGCATTGAGAATGAGAGGGGCACATGATGAACCTGGTGTGCTGGTGTGGGTGGTTTATTGAAGGTTTTCCTTGAAGAGTGGGAAGATTTACAATAGCAAGCAAATTGCTGGGTAGAAAAATCAAACGAGTGCCTGAAAGAGAGTACGGGAGGGCTGGGGAGGTCTGACCTTGGGGATGACTGTGAGGCAGAGAATCACATCCAGCATGGAGAGGATGGCAAGTAGGTAGTACATGGGCTCATGCAGAGAGGCCTCTTGTCGGATGGCAAGTAATAACACAAAGTTGGCCCCAAGGGCCAAAACCAGGAGAGGAGCTAGTGGTATAGAGAGCCAGTGCTGGGTGTCCTGCATCCCTGGGAAGCAGATCATTAGGAATTCAGTCACCTGGGTCTCTGTGTGGTTGGGAAACAATACCATGATTGGTAGGTGGACCTGGAACGATCTAAAGAAAAGAGACATTAATTCAGGGCTTGACTGTGTCATTAATGGCCTCCTAACAAATTTGCCTCCATTCCAGGCTTTCAAGCTTCTTCACCATTCTATTGATGACTAACATTTAAATTGAGTTGTATCCCTATGCTGATAACATCATTGTCTTCATATTCATAACCTTATGGATTAAAACTTTTTATATGAGTATGATCCAGTTCCAAACAGATTCCAAAATTCACACACACACATCATACACACAGGCACAACCACACTTTTACTTTTGCCTTGCTTTGTCTCACCTATACATTTTTACATGTCTCATATCCTCCTCATAAAATTTCCTCTTGCCTTCAAATTTCTATCTTTTAACTTGTCACATTCTATTAACTCTAAGTGAACATTTTCTCTGAAATGTTTTTTCCTAGTATCCTTGTGCGTACAAAGGTGGATGTCAGTACTTTCCATTGCTTTCTAGGCTCCTTCAATCTCCCGAGCAGGTGGATAACAAAATATTAAAACTTCCCTACACTGACTGATGTGCCCTGCTTTTCTTTCATAAAGACAGACCAACAATGAAGCTTTATGTATTTTTGATTATAGAACAGAAGAAAGCACCAGGTTCCCACAACATAATAAACACTCAATAAGTAAGGAGCTCTGGTAGCGTAGTGGTTATGAATCAGGCTGCTAACCTCAAGGTCGGCAGTTCGAAACTGCCAACCATTCTGTGGGGGAAAGATGAGGTTTTCTGCTGTAAAGATTTACAGCTTCAGAAACCCTGTACAGGGTCACTATGAGTAGGAACCAACTCCACGGCACTTAACAATAACAAGTACAGTTCAGATGGGTAAGACTAATAGATTATTGAAAGTACTGTAATGGTTTTTACTCTTTTCCCTTATTACTTAGCATCTTAATCCCATATTCTACCATAAACCATCAACGCTTTTGGTCAACATTCAGCAGTAGCATTAAAAAATAATTGGGGTTCGGGGAAATAAAATTTAATAGTGAAAAAAATACAAAACTAATTAGTGGTGAGATAAATAAGTGCAAAACACCCTGCAGGATCTCTTAAATTTGCATGTGTGTGTTTGGTAGGTAACTGCTTACCAAATACTGTGGTAAAATAAGAAAAGACGAGGGAGTGAGATTTCCAACACAGGCAAAAAGCCACAGAATACCCAAATAGGCCCTAACATATTATCTTCATAGACAGGAGCTTCAGTTCTCTTTGAGCATCTTCGTAACCATCAAGGTGCCTGGTGGTGGAGAAGTTGTCAGATTCTCCTGTGCTCCACTCTGAAACGGGAAGCATCACTTTTTACAGATGGAGATTTGGCCTTCTTGTTAGGGCACTCCTAGGATCTAGGGCACTGGGGGAAAAAATCCTACCTATCAAGGAGTTCTGGTAGTGTAGTGGTTGTTATGAATCAGGCTGCTAATCTCAGTCAGCCGTTTGAAACTACCAGCTGTTCCATGAGTGGAAGATAAGGCTTTCTGCTCCCATAAAGATTTACAGCCTCAGAAACTCTGTACAGGGTAGCTATGAATGGAAACCAACTCCACGGCACATAACCACCACCACCATCATCAAGGTTTGAGGCTGTTTATTTTTTCTCTAACGTGTACGGTCGACATCTCATCAATTTATCTTTTATTTAGGTCAGTGGTTCTCAAACATAAGCTTGCATCAAAATCACCTGTGGGGCTTGTTAAACTTCAAATTGTTAGGCTCCATACCCAAGTTTTCAATTTTAGAGGTCTCGTCCTGATGTGTGGCACTGTGGATTAATGTGCTGGACTGGAAAGTCAGTTTGAACTGCAAGATCAATAGTTCAAGCTCACCAGCCACTCCTCAGAAACCCTCTACAGGGTCGCTATGAGTCAAATTGATGGCACTTAACAACAGTTCTGGTGTGGTACTGTGGGTTAAGCACTGGACTGCTAACTTCAGGGTTGGTGGTTCAAACCTTTGAAACCTTATACAGGGTCGCTATGAGTTGAAACCAACTAAATAGCACATGACAACAACAGTTCCCAGGTGTTACTGATAATGCTTTCTCAGGAAAAATACTTTTAAGAATGGCAGACCTGTACTCATTATAATGAACTAACAACTATTGTTGTTTCTGTTGTTGATAAAGTACCATTGAGTCAGTTTCAATTCATAGTGATCTTGCATATATGGTTTCTGAGGCTGCAAATCTTTACAGGAGCAGAAAGCCCTAAGCCAAGGCTGTTGCCTTAGTTCAGCCAGCCAAACCAGATTTAGATGTTAGATTAACCACTTCTACAGTTATCCCTCAATGAGCTATATTGACACAATGGCAGCAAAAATGGGCTCAACTATAACAATGATTGTGAGGATGGCTTAGGACCAGACAGTGTTTGGTTCTATTATGCATAGAGTTGCTATGAGTTGGAACTGACTCAACAGCACCTAACAACGGCAGCACAATTTTCTTCAGTTGTTTAAACACAAATCAGCCCAATCCCAGCCTCGAAATTTGAAAATTATCTTCCTTCCATAAAACCTCTAGAAACGTATAGGTTCTTTTCATACGTATATATCTCTGCTTTGTTGCTATTGCTGTTTACTGTCATCAAGTTGGTTGCAACCCATAGCAACCCTGTATAGGACTCCTGAGGAGTGGCTGGTGAGCTTGAACTGCCAACCTTGAAGTTCAAACCAACTTTGCAGTCCAGCGCATTAATCCATAGTGCCATACCAGGACTCTATATTTTTAATTATTTCATCTCAGAGGATCAAAACTCCTCCTTAAGATCAAGGACAAAATCAAAACTGCAAACCCACTACCATCGACTTGATTCCAGCTCATGGCAACTCTACACAGGGTTTCAGAAACTGCACATCTTTATGGGAGCTAACAGTCTCATCTTTCTCCTTTGGAGTGGTTGGTGATTATGAATTCTTAATCTTGTGGTTAGCAATCCAGTGCTTATTGTACAGCAACCACCAGGGCTCCTTAAGATCTAGTACAAGATCTCTTTTATTTACCTTTTCTTGGAGAAAGAGCCTGACAGTTAGAAAATGTTTCCAACATTCAGACAAAAATCTCTTCTCCAGTTAACCTCCCAGCCAGAGACAGACCTAAGCTAGTCTTCCATGAGCTAAACTTGTATACATTTTCATGTGTTCATTTTCTTCTGACATCAGTAATCTTCAGGGTCCTCACAAACCAAAATCTAGAGGGTGCAATGACATTTTCTGAAATAAACAATGAATGAATTCAAGACCCCAATTCAAATTTTCACTCATGTTTGATTTTCCAATGTTCTGTTCCTAATCATACATACAGAGAAATTCAGCTTCAAACGGCAATCTTGAGCAGCCAGCTGCTTTCAGAAAGTATGTTGCTCTTCAACTTCTCACTATGATTGTGGTTGGAATTCCTCCAAGACTTTATGAACATGCTGTTTCCATAATAACACCTCCCCTGTGGCTGGTGTTTAGGAACTGGAGTTACTTTAGGAACTCTTCTCTCTTGGGCACCTGTTTCTCTGAAGATACACACACACTGCAGTATTAAAAAGAGAGGTTTCTGTATTTAGAATCTGATTAAGTTAAACAGCAGTGCTCTCTTTTGAGGAGTCTGAGAATAGCATGAACTGAGACTCATTGTGACTGAAGTAGAATTGCTTGGAGACTTGGAGGATGCATTTAACAAACTCTTTAAAAAGGCAGTGTAATTAGACTAGTGAAGCTTCATCTTACATCTTAGCTACTTCTTTAAAAAATGTTTCTAAAATGAGAATTTTACTATTTATCATAGCATTAGTCTTTGTCAAGTTTTAGAAATATCTTCACACAAGGAAGAAATGTGTCACCTAAAGCAGTTGTACAGAGTCCTGAACACTTTTAAAGTGGTGGTGGTGGTTGTGTGCCATGGAGTTAGTTCCGACTCACAGCGGCCCTGTATTGGGTTTCTAAGGTTATAAATTTTTACAGAAACAGAAAGCTCATCTTTCTCTCTTGGAGTGACTGATAGATTCAAACTGCTAACTTATGGTGGCTAGTGGTCCAGTTTGTAATCCATTATAGCAAGTCAAGATTGCCAATATAAGTGGGAAGAAACAATGGAGATTCTCAGTATCATCAGCCAAAACAAGACCAGGATAGACTGTGAAGCAGATCATCAACTGCTCACATGGGAGTTCAGGCTGAAGCTGAGGAAAATTAAAACAAGTCCATAAAAGTCAAAATATGACCTTGAGCATATTGTTGTTAAGTGCCATCCAATCGGTTCTGACTTATAGTGTGAGTCTATGGGTTTCTGAGAAGCAGCTGGTGGGTTTGACACACCAATCTATGGTTAGCAGTCCAGTGCTTATTCTACATTGCCACACATTGAGTTTATCTCACCTAAATTTAGAGACCATCTCAATAACATATTTGATGCATTAGACACCAATGACCAAATACTAGAGAAATTGTAGATGACATCAAGAAAATCATACATGAAGTTTTTTAAAAATAAGCTTATTAAAAAATAAACAGGAAAAAAGAAAATACCAAAATGGATGTCGGGAGAGGATCTGAAACTTGCTCTTGAATGTAGAGAAGTTAAAGAAATTGGAAGAAATAGGAAGTCTTTTACTTGGACAGAAAATTTCAAAGAGCTTCTCAAGAGGACAAAGAAAAGTATTACAATGACATGTGAAAAGACCCAAAGTTAAAAAAACAAAAGTAAAAAACATGCTCAGCATTTCTCAAGCTGACCAACTAAAGAAAAAAATTGAAGCCTTGAGTTGAAATACTGGAAGATTCTATGGGCAAAATGGAGTCCTGGTGTGTCACTATAGGATAAGTGCTGGACTGAAAGGTCGGTTTGAATTGCAAGGTAGGCAGTTCAAACTCACCAGTCACTCCTTGATACCTATACAGGGTTGCTTTGAGTCAGAACTGGCTCAATGGCACTTAACAACAACAATAATATGGGCAAGATTGAATGTGGAAATCA